TTCCATTTCTAACATTTTGTGACTCTAGAGGCAGATAAGAGGAATGTTGAAAAAAGTATAGGTCTGCAAAACAGAACTGCAGTTTGGAAGGAATGGCAGAGATTATGATGGAATTGAGGCTTGGGAAAGGCCTTTGCATGAAGTTTAAAGTTTCAATATTCTAACCTGAACTTTTGATGGTTTCACAGATGATGGAGACAATTATTTCTCCATTCAAAGTATCGACTCTGAACATGTGATATTTATCTTGCATAATATCAAGGATGGGGAGGTGACTGTTTGGGGAGAATTCTATGGTATGTATCTTATGATCCTGCACAAATACTCTTCCCCTTCTCTCTTTCATGGTAAGTGTACTAAAGGAAAATAAGTTGTAGCATTGTAGCATTGGGGGTAGCTCAAGCTCTGTTTGACTACAATTTACATGCATAAGATCAGGGTGAAAATAAAAGCTTCCCAGTATGGCAAACTGTCCATGTTGAGCTTCCTTCAGTAACTTCTGAAGGCAACTCTGAACTTTCAGTAGAATTGAAGCTTTGTAAGAGCCAGGACAGAGAGAGACAGACAGAGACTGATGGACAGAGATAGAAAAATAGAGACACAGAGTAAGACAGAGAGAGAGAAAAACAGAGAGATAGAGAGAGAGAGACAGAGATTGTGAGAGACAGAGAGAGACAGAGAGATGTCCCAGTGTAAACCTTTCTTTCTCTCTGCTCTGAAAAATGTTAATATGGAATTCATTATTATCTGTTGTTCATTCCATGCCTCTAGCTACTAAAGTAAATTTGGGGTGGGAGGTCTCTGGTCTAATACTGAACCATTAAATCTATTTCCCTTCCCTCTTGGGTGCTCTATTTTTGTCATTTTGGGCTGTACTCACTGAATGACAAATATAGGTTGGCAATAGAATGGTTAATCACGTTTACCCTAAAATCAGACTTTAAAGTCAGGTAAGCAGAAAGGTAAAATCTCCTAAGAGATAGAAATAAATTTTGGGAATAATACACTCCTCTTTGGAAGAGATTGAGGGAACGTGGAGAAGGGAGATGAGTAATCAGCAGTTCAAGTCTCGGCAATCTTAATGAATTCAGCAATAAAATCGTATCCTGTTTCTCTTCATTGTTGTATCACATGGCCCTGACCTCTCAGATTTGCTCCTCATACTTCTCTCATACTCTCTCAATCTCTGAGATGACAGTTGGTCCCCTATTCAAGGTTACTCTCCATTCTCATCTCCACCTCCTGGATTCCCTAGTTCCCTTCCAGGCTCATTTCAAGTGCCATAATCCTTAAAAGGGCTTCTTCTAGATAGTAGTCATCCCCCATAAGAATTTACTTTGTATTTATCTTTCA